TGAACCGACCCGGAGAGCCGGGATGGGGAAGGGAAGACCAAGCTAAGACGTGGGGTTTTTGGGATGGACTTCCTGGCGGCTGAGAGGAGGCACAAATCACAGTGTATATATATATATATATGTTTATGCCATTAATATTGATTTATTTAATACATACAGTACATATAGAGAGAGATAGTATATTAGACTTGACACGTGAAAAGCTGCAAGTCTTGCATCATAACTTATCGTATCTTATCATGGAAGGTTGTGTACTGTGTTGCTTCGCTATGCTTCGCTCTCCAGTGATGTTACTATGAAGCTCTTCGTGGGCTTCGTCAGGCGCAGAGGATTTTTCTGGCACCTGTTTGGTCGCCGAGCCCAACGCATGTACAAGGCCCCTGAAGAAATGCCCAGTGCTGTTCAGTGCTTTTGGATCGCTCCAGCTTGGTTGATCCTGTTGCATGGCTGGTCCACAGGTGGTCACCGGTCCCAAGTCGAAAACGGCTTTGCTCAACGGCGTGGCGAGCGAGCCGAGCGGCGAGCGGCTTAGCGAGTCGGCGAGCCGAGCTTTCCACCAGGGGGGGGCTTCGTTCGTCATGTTGCCCCGGAACGGAGCAACGGGTTGTGCCTGATGTGACCACAAGTAATTCGGCGCGCCGAAGGCATCCAAAGGCCAAACAGTTTAGGCCTTTTTCCATGAGGAGATGATAGCAAGAAGACCACATCAGACCGTCATCCATGTGTGTTTTGGGCGCCAGGCAGCAGTGGAGAAGGGGAATGGTGTCCTGGACCAGATCGAGAACCTGTTGAATGACATTGGAGAAGGCGCTCGTGCCGCGGCGGTGGAGTATGGTGACGGTGAACATGGGCTGGACTGGATCCACTGGACTAGGTACGGTGAACCACAATTGCATCAAAGCTCTAAAGAGTGATCCACGTGATCCAGTGGACCTCACAATGCTCCAAAACGCGGTGAATACTGCAGGTCTTATTGGTGATTAGACTATTCAGCTGCGTGCGTGCTGTTTCCATCTCTCCTGCAGGAGATGGGGACCTGATGTGTGGCGATCAAAACTTGGGTGTCCATTCCATATGAATATCTATACTTTCAGTATGTTTCAGTTCTAGATCATTCTATAGATCCCATCCATTATATACCAATTGTATCTTACTTGACACGCTGGCCAATCAAAATCACCCTCACTTCCTTTGACACAGGCTCACTGACATCCCCAACAACACAGTCAGGACTCTCGCCGGTCTCCGTCAGGACCCTGTCTCGTGCCTGGTCAGGTGGGACGCCCAGTCCTGTGCAGAAGGGCAAGATTGCGGCCCACTCGGCAGAGCCTCTCGGCAGAGCAGAGGTCTCCGGTCTCCCTGGAGCCTCTCGTGAGCCTCGAATTTGAGGTCTTGAACGGAATTCTGAAGCATGTCCAAAAAAGGATGGAAAGAGGCATACCGCCTTTTCGCTCATAAGACCTCAATGAGCTTGGGGCAGCCCCCATTATATGCACCCACTCACTCACTTTTTTGTGGTGGCCTGTAATTACTCGCAGTTGGGATGTCGTTTCGAATTTCGTCTACATCCCAAAGCCACTTCGCCCACTTCTACATCATCACCTTTGTGTGCGGAGCATCATCAGCTCAGCAACTTTTCAGCATTAGCGTTGGTGATGTGCAATGTATCTGATTTGGAGAGCGTCATGTGGCAAGCTATGAAGTCAGATCGCACACCTACCTTATCAAAATCATTCAATCCCGACATGTCCCACACCTGAGAGTCTGTGCACACGACAGGAAACAGGCGCTTGTTGAATTGAAAGTCGCCGTTTGTGCTCCCAGAGGTAGGCGGGGAACTGCTCGAGAGCGGCAACTTCAGGGTAGCAGCAGCGGAGCACAGAAGTATGAACCCAGAGCTGAAGGAAAAGCTGCAAAAACGGTTTCAAAGATGCGAGGGTGCTCAGAGTGCTGTGGCCACAGTAGCTCCAGATCCAGCTCCAGCAGACAGCCCTAGTAGTTTCAACAGTAGCTCCAGCTCCAGCACGGCAGCGCCGGACACAACTCCGCCATCCCCATCCTCTCCAACAGAGTTAGACATCGCGGATGATCCAGAGGATCTAGTGCTTTCATGGTTTGCGACAATGTCCCCTATGGAAAGGCTCCGTGGATTTTACCTTCGTGCGTCCGAACACGCAAAGGAGGCAAAGGACCTTTGGTACATATTTGACACAGAGGTGAAGAAGCTAAAAGATGCAAATGACACGATTGAAAGGTTGACAGGGGACCTT